GGGGGCACAGCGGGGCACTCTGGGGGCAGTCTGGGGCAGTTTGGGGTCACCATGGAGCACCACGGGGCCACCACGGGGCACTCTGGGGTCAGTCTGGGGTCAGTCTGGGGCAGTTTGGGGTTTCTATGGGGCAGTTTGGGGTCAACATCAGGGGGTTTGAGGTGATGATGAGAGAATTTGGGGTTGTTGGGGATCCCGAGCGTTATTTTGGGGTGATTTTGGGGGTTTTTGGGTTTGCCTAGCCTGGGTGGGCAGCAGCTGGGCCTGCACCCTACAGTTTTGGGGGGCCTCAGGAAGCTCAGAGAGATTTGGGGTTTTTGGGAGGGTCCCGGGTCAGTTTTTGGGGTGATTTCGGGGGTTTTTGGAGCTCACCTGGCCTGGATGGGCAGCAGCTGGTGCTGCAGGTCCCGGGTCAGTTTTTGGGGTGATTTCGGGGGTTTTTGGGGCTCACCTGGCCTGGATGGGCAGCAGCTGGTGCTGCAGGTCCCGGGTCAGTTTTTGGGGTGATTTCGGGGGTTTTTGGGGCTCACCTGGCCTGGATGGGCAGCAGCTGGTGCTGCAGGAGCTGGTGCTGCATCTCGTGGGGGCCCCAGGGCGTCTGGGGGGGGCCGTAGGTGGGGCCGGCCCCGCCCCCGCTGTAGGGCAGCTCGTAGCCGCTGTGGTAGGGGTCAGTGCCGTGGTCATCCCTGCGGCCACAGGGGACAGCGGTCAGTGTGGGGTTTGGGGGTCACTGCGGGGTTTGGGGGTCAGTGGTCAGTGCCGTGGTCATCCCTGCGGCCACAGGGGGCTCAGGGAGGCCGTGGAATGGCCGCTCCGGGGTCATCTCCGAGGAAAAATCCGGCAGATTTTGGTGTTTATTTGGGGGGTTTTGGGGGTCTCTCACCAGTCCCTGCGCAGCCGTTTCTGGGGGGTTTTGGGGTGGATTTGGGGGATTTTGGGGGTCTCTCACCAGTCCCTGCGCAGCCGTTTCTGGGGGGTTTTGGGGTGGATTTGGGGGATTTTGGGGGTCTCTCACCAGTCCCTGCGCAGCCGTTTCTGGGGGGGGCTCAGCTCATGCCGGGGGGGCGAGAACCGTTCCCGCCGAGTCCGGTCGTAGTCCCGGTAATCCCGGCTGCGCCGCTCCCGGCCCCGCTCCCAGTCCCTGCACGGGGTCAGCCGGGCATCAGGGACCCCTCCCAGTGCCCCCAGCCCCCAAACTGGGGTAAACTGGGATCACTGGACCCCTCCCAGTGCCCCCAGCCCTTCCCAGCCCCTCTCTGGTCACTCCAGCCCCTCTCTGGTCACTCTGTGTCCCTCTCTGGTCACTCCAGCCCCTCTCTGGTCACTCCAGCCCCTCTCTGGTCACTCCAGCCCCTCTCTGGTCACTCTGTGTCCCTCTCTGGTCACTCTGTGTCCCTCTCTGGCCACTCTGTGTCCCTCTCTGGTCACTCTGTGTCCCTCTCTGGCCACTCCAGCCCCTCTCTGGCCACTCCGGCCCCTCTCACCGGTCACTCTGTGTCCCTCTCTGGCCACTCCGGCCCCTCTCACCGGTCACTCCAGTCGTCCCTCCTCCTCTCGTCCCTCTCCCTGGACCGGTCGTAGTCGCTCCGTTCCCGCCGGAATTTGTCCCTGCGGCGCCGGTCGTACTCGTCATCGCTGTCCCCCATCCTGAGGGGACACTGGGGGTCACGGCGGGGACGGGGGCGCCGGGACCCCCCAGGCCGACCCCCAGAACCCAACTGAGGCCTTCCCGCCGCCCCCAGACCCCCCAAATCCCCCATCCCGTGATCCTCCGCGGCCTCCGGGTGCCCCCCAACGCCCCCAGACCCCCGAAGCCCCTCAGGCCCCCCCATCCCGTGATCCTTTGCGGCCTGGCCTCGACCCCCCCAACCCCCGGGGCCCCCCCCGGCCTTGACCCCCCCCCCGCCCATCGCAGCCCCCCCGGTGACGTCACGCCTTCCATCCGTGACGTCACGCGGGGATCCCCCCCCGGACCTGCCCGCGCGGTCCCGGCCCCGCGCGCGGCTGCCCGCTCGCTTCCGGCCCGCGCCGGCAGGAAGTGACGTCCGGCGGCGCCGCCGAAGCGGCGGGACGGGGGCGGGAGGACGGCGGCGGCCGCTCCGGGCGCCTGGGAGGACCGCGCCGCTTCTCGCCCGTGCGCGCCCGCCGGGGTTTTACCCGCGGTGGCGCCGGTAGGAAGGAGCCGCAGGAGCCGCCCAGGCCGCGCTCGGCGCTCGCAGCGGGTCCCGGGGGCGGCGCGGCCGCGCGCGCTCCTCTCTATGGTGGCGGGGGCCGCTCTGGCCGCGCCCCGGGGGAGCTCGCGCTGCCGCCGCTCCCGCGCTCCCATTGGCCGCCGCTCCCGCGCGCGCGCGGGCCCCGCCCCTGCCCCGGCGCCGCCATCTTCTCCGCGCGCGTCACGTGACGCGGGGGTCGCCGCCATTTTGTCTCGCCGGGCTCCGCGCAGGCGCAGAGCGGCTCTTGAGGCTGCCTTGGGCGCCGCCATTGTGCCAGTGCCCTCCCAGTGCTCCCAGTAACACTCTGGGATCACCCCAGTGCTCCCAGTAACCCCCCAGTGTCACCCCAGTGCTCCCAGTAAACTCCCAGTGCCCTCCCAGTGCTCCCAGTGCCCTCCCAGTGCCCTCCCAGTGCTCCCAGTAAACTCACAGTGCCCTCCCAGTGCTCCCAGTAACCCTCTGGGATCACCCCAGTGCTCCCAGTAACCCCCCAGTGCCCCCCCAGAACACTGGAATGCCTGTAAGGATTGGTGACATCCCGGTACTGCTTTGTACTGGTTCTTTACTGGTCCGGAGAGGCCCGTACTGGTTTCTACTGGTTTCTACTGGTCCCGTACACTCGGTTACTCCAGTAACTCCACTCTCAGCCTCCCCCCAGTCCCCCCCAGTCCCCCCCAGACCCATTTCAGCACCCC